AATCCCTTGTCTGACAGGCGATACCCCAGGAATTCCACCTCCTTGGTATGAAACTGACACTTCTCCAGTTTCACCCACAGCTGGTTGGCTTGCAGCCTGCTCAACACTTCTCTGACGTCTCTCACATGCTGCTCCTCATTCTCAGAATACACCAACACGTCGTCTAAAAAGGCCACACAATTCTTGTAAAGCAAAGGCCCCAGGACGTGGTTCATAAACGATTGAAATGTTGCGGAGCCTCCTTGTAGGCCGAAGGGCATAACCAAATATTCAAATGCCCCTAAAGGGGTGAACATAGTGGTTTTCCATTCATCCCCCTTCCTTATTCGTACCAGGTTGTACGCCCCCCTTAGGTCCAACTTTGTAAAAATCTTTCCCTTCCGCACCCTTGTCAAAATGTTGTCAATCCTGGGCATAGGGAAGGCTACTGGTTCTGACACTGCATTTAAGGCCCTGAAGTCACACACCAGCCTCGGCTTGTTCGTGTTTTTCTTATCCACAAAAACACTGGGCTGCCCCCACCGCCCTGGACTCTCTGATGAACCCTCTCTTCAGGTTCTTGTCAATGAACTCTCTTAACTCCTGCATCTCTCTGTCTGACATGGCGTACAGCTTGCCTACAGGGAGCTGTGCTCCAGGGAGTAAGTTGATTTGACAGTCAAAGGGTCTATGCGGGGGTAGTTGGTCAGCTTCCCTTTCGCTGAAGACGTCACGGAGATCTGCATATTGTCGTGGTACCTTCACGTTCTCTGTTACTTCAGTCCCTGCTAGGGTGGCTTGGACCCCTGCCAAACCCTTTCCCTCTTTGCAGTGTTCTAAGCAATGTGCTGAACCAAAAGAAACCACTCTCTGATGCCAGCCCACCAGCGGATCATGTAACGCTAGCCAGCTCATCCCCAATATAATGGGAGCTCCTCCCAAGGTGGCCACATTAAAAGCTATCAGTTCGGTGTGCCTTGCTACCTTCATTATCATTGGGACGGTCTGCAAGCTGACTTCTCCACCCAACAGCTCCCTGCCATCGATCGTGGTCACCTGCAGGGGGCTGCTTAAAAGGATCGTCTGTATCTGGTGTTCAGCTGCAAACTCTTTGCTCATGAAATTGCAGGAGCTGCCTGAGTCCAACAGCGCCTTTATCTTTAGAGGGTGTCCGTTTGGCAGCTCTAGCGTCACTTCTATCACTAGGGCGGGTTTAGGAGGTTCTGGCGTGGGCACTCTCACTGCTCTTTGGCCTGGCTGCTGTGCCCTGACAGTGGCAGCCAGGCGTTGGCTTTTACTTGCTCCGGTATATTTTCCTCTCTTCCATCCACAGCCCCTACCATCCCTTGCCATTCTTTCCTCTGGGGGCAGACTCTGGCAAAGTGACCTGGCTGTTGGCAGAGATAGCATTTCCGGGCGCCTTTTCCCTCCTTCTTTGCCCCCTCACTGGGCTTTGAAACTGCGCGCGCGCCGCTGTTCCGATTTCCATCGGCTCTGCCGGTGGGAAAGTTGGCTCTGGAATGTCTGGAATGCGGAACTCCTTCCAACGTTCCCCTTTCCCTTCCCGCCTCTCCAATGCTCTCGCCTCCTGGCGCGCTCCTATGGCCAGCGCTGATTTGGTCAGCTGGTCCATAGACTCCGCCCTGGGCGCCCGGGAAAGTTCGTCTTTCACAGCCGAAGAAAGCCCTTCTTCAAAGAGCATTTGAATGGGTTCCGCCGATAAGTCCCACCCCAATCTGTGAACAAGCATGGTGAACTCAGTCCAGTACTCACGGACAGATCGGCTCCCCTGTTTGCAACCCATTAACTGTCTGCGCACCACTCCCTTTTCAATATCGCTGGAAAACATCAGATCCATGGCGCGAAAGAACTTCATCGTGTCTTTTAAGACGTCACTATTCGCTGCCATCAGGGGTCTAACCCAGTCTCTCGCCCCTTTTCAAGATGCTCAATCACGAAAGCCACTCGTGATTCCTCGTCAGGAATTCATCAAACTGCAGATTGAGGGCAAATTGCATTTCTGTACGAAAACCATGATAGTTTTAGGGGCTCACCACCCAAACTTCTGCACCAATCATTGTACCTTAATTGCTAACTGGGTGGCTTTCCCCTTTTGTCTGCATCCTGAGCCCTCCTCTCCTCAAGCCTCGCCGTCTGCATCGCTAGCTGGACCTCCAACATCTGGTACCTTTCTTCCAGGCTTGGACCCGCTCCAGCTCCTGCTTCTCCGGTTCCGGCTGGGTTGCTCATGATACCTTCTCCTGCACAAGCTGCTTTCAAAGACTGTCGGAATGCTGTGATGGGATGATGAGCTGCTTGTGCGTAAAATCGTATCCCCTCAGAGTTTGTTCAAGTCCACAAACCTCTGTCTGTGACAGAGCCCCTCAGACATGGCTACTCTAGTCACTAGCAGATTCCGACAGTGGTTGCTTTCGTAATCGCTTCCAACATAAAAGCTCCTTAACGGAAACACGTCTTCTGGAATCTCTGCGTGACAGTTTCCGGCGAGGAGTGGGTGTTCTTACAGGAGGTCCTGAAACCTCTCCACTGTTTTCGCTGGAAGTGTCTCTGAGCCATCCCTCCAGCTCAGCTCCTCTCCCCTGCTGGTTCCCTCATCAGCTGCTGCGTCTCTCCCAACCTGTGTGAGCCCTTTCACCTCCCTGTTGGTTTCCTCTTCAGCTGCTGCGTCTCTCCCAACCTGTGTGAGCCCTTTCACCTCCCTTCCGTCCGATGGCAGTTCCCTGACAATAACTAAGCAATTTGTTTACAAAAAAATAAAATAAATCAATTTGGTGTGCTAATCTGGTGACTGGAAAGGCAGTGTATTTTTTAAAAAGTAAATTTAAAGTGCTATTAATATTTAAATAAAAAATGTGTGAAAAAGCATTTTAGAGCAAATGAAAAAAAAATATTTTTAACAACCACAATGACAAAATGGCACTAACAGAAAAAGTAGTTGTTTCGTTGTATACTGTGTTGGTATTATTTTAATGAGAAATAGTAAATACGTATATTGAATAAATAAATAATAATGAAGGTTTACAAAAGCAAATGCATAGTAATAAGCTCAGTGACCCAATGTGTCACTGCAGTCATCAAATGGCATATCTTTTTTCAAAAAGGAAAGCAGCCTTAAAGAGATCTAAACCTCTTGGAGACAGTGCTTCTTTCCCATTTTTCCAAAACCAAGCCCAATTTTCTAAAATCTGAAAAGAGACCCAAGAACCGGGGGTGCGGTGGAGAGACACAAGAGAATAACTGTTTGATTACAACATTATGTAGATGCTTCATAAACAGGGATTGAATAAAATCCTAGCTATTCCAAGGAATGTACCTAGTGTGGAAACAGCCAGACTCCCATCTCAAGAGAAAAAAAACATTTTTGCAAGGATCCTCATCCAGGTATTATTGTAGTAGTGTTATAGGCCTCACAAGGAAACAAGGGAATGTTGAGGGATAAAAACTCACTTCCTCAAGGAAATGAAACAGTAGAAAGATGATGGAACATTTTAAGTGCAGCGAAGGTGGCAGAAAAGCACCTGTTTTCCTATAGAGCCCATTCTGCTAACGTGTAGCTGAGGTTAAGTTCTATAAGCCTCACACTCTGCTGACATTAGGACCAGAGACAAGGGTGGGGCGAACGGCAATTGCAGCCTCTTGCTGCTCCCCTCTGCCGCATCCCCCTCTGTACCACTTCATGGGTGGGCCTGCTCTGGCCAGAGACATACTTATGGTGCAGCTAGAAGCCATGGCATGGAGGTGAACACAATCAAGTTTCCTCTGGGATGACTCCACATCTGGATCCACTGGCTGACATACTTGGAATAGAAAATTAATGACTTGGGGGCTCAAAGACCTACTACTTCCTTCCCAATGAAGAGCTTTTATGCTAGCAAGACAAAACGCTTTCCCCTCCGCAGTGACCACAGGTGACCACTTGCAAATTCCTTATCAAGTCCGCCTGTGTGCCTGTAATCAGGGAGTACCAGATTCACTGGACCATATTCTTTTGGACAGCCCTTTGCACAGCAGACTCCTCAAATAGATGCTGAGCAAGATATTGAATCTGCAACCCAAGGGTCTGAGAGAAAGCCAAATGAGGTTCTTCCTAGCGGATAGGGACAAGGACGTTACTGCCCTGTGGTTTCCTTTTTAATCTCCATCTTACCTGAAAGGGTTCTTAATGAATCATCCCTCTAGGGAATAGACAGGGTGAAGCAGAACAATCAAGTACCTTGTGACCCTCAACAGCCTCACTCCTGTCCCTTTTAAATTTATCCTAGTGTTTTGAAATGTTTTAACTCGTAATGCCAATGAAGGTATTTGTATTTTATTGTATTGTTACCAAGTCACCATCCTGAGGTTCAAGGTGAGGAGTGTCACCTCCCTCCACTTTGTATCACTCGAAACCTGATCACTATAACTGTGTATCATGGGGTTGTGCAGCAAGGTGTTCAGGTGAAGTGGTACAGTGTTGGAAGGGAGTTTAACCTCGCTCACCATCTGGGTAGCTGAGAATTTGCAACTGATGTTCTACAAGACGAACAGTCCTTCATGAACCTAAGCACTGCAGTGCTGTAAATCAGTGGAGATCCTCCAGGTCCAATCACCCATCCCTCTTTTCACTGCTGTAGGATTTAATTTTTTCTCATGTTCCATTCCTATACGATGGTGTTATATGTATGCAGCTCTTCTTATTCATTCTTCCAAGTATGCAGAAACCCCTCCCCTGCCTGTTAGTTGGCACAGGGCCACCAAGTTTGCTATTAAAATGACCTGGAAGCACCTTGTTTGTTTTTCAAGCTTTCCTTCCACCTGCAGTGTGGGGATTGACTTGATGGTTAAGATTCCCATGGACCTCCGAATCTCTTCTGTAGTGCATGTACACCATTTCTGAAACACTATAATTTGAATTGTGTATTTTGAACTGGGAATGTACACAGGGGAATGTACCAAGTGGTCTTTTGTCTCTTTCAGCGCCATGATTTTCTGAAGCTTCCCATCTACTTCTCAGAGAATGGTTAACTCTGCAGAGAGGATCCTGACGTAAAGAGATGGTCCATTTAATCAAGTATGAAAGTTCTGAAGACTTCTTACCAATAGCTTCAAAAGTATGAATTAACTAAAAGCCCAGGTTAACTATCTGTAAACCTAAGACTTCTGCAGCCAGAATCAGTTAGTTTCTAGTTACCTGTTTGCAGCACAAAGCATACACTCATTTGCGTAAGTTTCTCCATCAGTCCCACAAACAGGATTAAAGTTCCTTGGGCATCCAGGTAGAGAATATAAGTCGCATCTGGGTTGAGAATGAACAGATTTACAGTACTGATGTTTACTCAAATTGTATTTTTGAAATATTTATTCAGAGTAGCATTTCTTCAAGTCTCAAAAATCCCAATTTTCATGAAGCAAGCCTACACACAGGATCAGTTTACACAGATAAAGTAGCATGATAAAAACGTGTGGCTGTGAGGAGTGATAGGTATGGTGAAAGTTGAGTTCACAACTCCATCCACATATTGCATGAGTTCCATTAAATTCACATTTGACAACTTTGTAGGAATGCAATTATTGCAAACCTAACTCCACACCATGCATGCAGCTGGGGGCAGGGGCGGGCAAGGGGCTATCTGACAAGCTAGAAGAAGAAGAAGAGTTTGGATTTGATATCCCGCCTTTCACTCCCTTTAAGCAGTCTCAAAGCGGCTAACATTCTCCTTTCCCTTCCTCCCCCACAACAAACACTCTGTGAGGTGAGTGGGGCTGAGAGACTTCAGAGAAGTGTGACTGGCCCAAGGTCACCCAGCAGCTGCAAGTGGAGGAGCGGAGACGCGAACCCGGTTCCCCAGATTATGAGACTACCGCTCTTAACCACTACACCACACTGGCTCTCCACTACACCACTGCACTGGCATGCAGTTATGGCTAGGTGGTACCCATAACTGCATGCTGAGCTTCGGTGTAGTTGAATCACTTGCATCACTTTTCTAATTTGCATCAGTTTTGTACGTGTTAATTCATATGTCTGTTCCCTTCTGTTTCTTCATTAATGTGTTTTTAAAAGCTATACAAAAATTCATATATATTGATATACAGGTAACTTACAATTTACATGCATTAGCTTGCGCAATTTCAACTTTATGTGGTTCAAATCACGCAAACTAAATGTGCAGAAGGTGGAGAGCTTAAAAGCTCTTTTTGCACAGGGTTTTCCTGGTGCAGAAAACTTGCTTACTGGGCACTGGGAGGTTCTAGCAAAATCTTGTACGGCCCTGCAAGATCCCACAAGCCTTCCAGAGCATGGAGGGTGGGGTACAACCTCTTCAGCATGCTGGGTCCAGAAGGAAAGATTGCTCACACAGAGGCACTTCCAAGGAGGTGGTTTGACGTATATGTGCCATCCCCAGAACTTAACTCCTGCACAAGTTTTAAGTTATCGTATTTAAGTACATTAAACATTATTTTTCTCTCAATGTGCATAGTTCAACTTCTAAATATATTTTATCCTAAAACACCTTTTAAGAAACCCACTTGGGGGGTGTTTTTTTGAGCAGGCGACTGTACTGAAAAATTAGCAAGCGTGAAATGCAGAGGATAATTTATGTTCCTATCCATGTTTTAGCCGAGGGATGTGAATTAGTTCCACTTATGAATGCAGACTGAACAAAATCCACTGCACCATATGTGTGTGTGTGTGTGTGTGTGTGTGAGAGAGAGAGAGAGAGAGAGACAGAGAGAGAGACTAGAACAACCTTCCTCAGTCTGCTGCCCTCCAGATGTTCTGGACGATAACATCCATCAGTCGATGAGAGTTGTCCAAAAATCATCTGGAGGGCAGCAGGTTGGGGAAGATGACACAAGAAGATGGGGATGGTGGGACACCGATGGGAGTCCTTCTTGTTACTCCCCACTTTCCCCGCTACCCCTAAACTTACCTCGGAGAGGCCTTCCCCAGAAGGAGGCATCAACAGGAGTCCTGAGGGAAAAGAGCAGCCACGGGTTATGAGAGCAGCACGCCATTCCTACACCTGCCATGAACACACCTCTCTCCTCCTTCTCCCCTTCCCTAAACCCTGTTGCCAACTGATTCAGAAAACTGATCCACCCCCCCCCCCCCAAATTCTGGATCCACTACCCCACCATTTGCAAGAAGTAACATGAGCCATTTGCTCACATGCATCGCAGCCAGTGCTGGATTTACGTATAAGCTAAACAAGCTATAGCTTAGGGCCCCACTCTCTTGGGGCCCCCAAAAAAATTCAAAGGAAAAAAACACCTGGATGTACATTTCCAAAATATAAGATAAAAAAAAGTAAAATAAAACCTACATACAGCAACGGTGTTTTGTGTTGTGTAGGCTCCTATGATGTAAGGCTAGTAAGCCTGCTAGCCTGCTCCCTAAAATATCACTGGTTTGCTCATTTCTATATACAGGGTGTCTACATTCTGCATGGACTGGTTGTAACAATTACTTTCATAAAATACATACAGTGGTGCCCCGCAAGACGAATGCCTCGCAAGACGGAAAACTCGCTAGACGAAAGAGTTTTCCGTTTTGGAGGTGCTTCGCAAAACGAAGCTCCTATGGGCTTGCTTCGCAAGACGAAAATGTCTTGCGAGTTCCTGCGGTTTTTTCCCCCTCCCCCCCCTTTTTCTAAGCCGTTGAGCCGCTTATCTGCTTATCCGATAAGCTGATAAGCCGCTAAAAGCCGCTAATAGCGCTAATCCGTCAATGGGCTTGCTTCGCAAGACGAAAAAACCGCTAGACGAAGAGACTCACAGAACGGATTCTTTTCGTCTTGCGAGGCACCACTGTATTTTGTTATGTGCAAATGGCTTTAAATACATAAAGGTAAAGGGACCCTGATGATTAGGTTCAGTCGTGGCCGACTCTGGGGTTGCGGCACTCATCTCGCTTTACTGGCCAAGGGAGCCGGCGTACAGCTTCCGGGTCATGTGGCCAGCATGACTAAGCCGCTTCTGACGAACCACGGAAACGCCATTTACCTTCCTGCCAGAGCGGTACCTATTTATCTACTTGCACTTTGACGTGCTTTCAAACTGCTAGGTTGGCAGGAGCAGGGACCGAGCAACGGGAGCTCACCCCGTCACGGGGATTCGAACTGCCGACCTTCTGATCAGCAAGTCCTAGGCTCTGTAGTTTAACCCACAGTGCCACCCGCATCCCATTTTAGATACATATGATGTCCATAAATTACTATATAGCATATATTCAACACAAAAAACAGTGGCAATTTGTTGCTGACAAAGGACAGCTGGACATATAAAGGGCCTAATAATAATAATAATAATAATAATATTTATACGCCGCCCATCTGGCTGAATTTCCCCAGCCACTCTGGGCGGCTTCCAATCAAGTGTTAAAAACAATACAGCATTAAATATTAAAAACTTCCCTAAACACGGCTGCCCCTTCGGATGTCTTTTAAAGAGAAGATAGCTGCTTATTTCCTTCAAATCTGAAGGGAGGGCGTTCCACAGGGCGGGCGCCACTACCGAGAAGGCCCTGTGCCTGGTTCCCTGTAACCTCACTTCTCGCAGTGAGGGAACGGCCAGAAGGCCCTTGGCGCTGGACTTCAGTGTCCGGGCTGAACGATGGGGGTGGAGACGCTCCTTCAGGTATACTGGGCCGAGGTCGTTTAGGGCTTTAAAGGTCAGCACCATCACTTTGAATTGTGCTCAGAAACGTACTGGGAGCCAATGCAGATCTCTCAGGACAGGTGTTATGTGGTCCCGGTGGCCACTCCCAGTCACCAGTCACATTACCTCCAGCAGCTTAGGGCCTCATCAAACCTAAATCCGACCCTGCCCTGTTGCCAACTGATCTAGAAAACTGATCCACACACTCCCCCCAATTCTGGATCCACCACACCCCCCCCCCCATTCTCAAGAAGGGACACGAGCCGAGGCGAGCGTTGCCATTTGCTCACGTGCGCCGCAGCCCGACCTTTCCCAGAAGGAGCAGAGGAGCAGGGGCTACTTGAAGAAGGTGGCAACCCAACCCTCCCCTGGTTACCGTGGCAACGCGGCCTCACTCCTCCTCCCCGGTACCTCAAGAGTGTGTGTATGTGAGGAGGGGAGTGAAGGATGGAATAAGGGGGCAGAGGGCGAGGGGCGCTCGCGGCGGGGGTACCTGCCACGAACCACCACAGCAGCAGCAGCGCCGGCGGCGGCGGGAAGCCCGACCGTCGCATCCTGGCGGCGGCGGCGGACGGACCGGAGGGACCACGGAGCTCCTCCCCCTCAAGGGCTTTCGCGGCTCCGCCTATAGCGCCCGCGAGAGAGAGAGGGGGGAGGCCCCGCCTTCCTCCACGCCACGCCCCCTTCGCCTCGCGCCCCTCGGCGTGCTCGAGCAACGGACTGCCCTGCCCACGTGACCTGCCCCGAGCGCTGAGGGGGCCGGTTGGCAAAAGGGCCGTGAGGGGAGAGGGCGGCGGCGGCGGCGGCGGAGGGATCGCTGCTGGACTGTGGTGTTTCTCTCCCGCCTTTTTTTTTTAAATGAATAAAACATTTCAGTTAAACAAGTTCAAGGAAAAAATAATAATGAAGTAAAACGTGCAGTTTTAAAAAAACCACAACACCCCTCCATTATAATTGTATACATACTTGTCTAATACAAATATAAATGAAAATATTATTCTAAGACGTATACATTTATTTATAACCTTTTAAATATTAAATGCTTTTCAAATATGCCTACACACAATCTATAAGTTACCCGTTCCTATGTTTCAAGAGCTGTCATGACTTCTACTCGTTGAAGGGGACTATCGTCCCAGTGGATTTATTTATTTATCTTCCCAGTGGATCAGTATCAGCAATATTTATCAAAAGCTACAAGATACATTGTGGCTTCAAACACTAGCAATTGGGAGCGCACCGGGGCCGGAATAAACTCTAAAAAATTATTAATTTTATTTCCTGTTGCAGAACGCCTCAAAGTGGTTTAATGGGTACACAGCCTTACATATCAGAATCCATGGCAGTAACACAGATGTTTAGAAACCCATTTAGGGCAGTACATATTAGGGCTGGGTATGTTTTTTCTAGAAGAGACTGAGAGGAGATAAGCTAGCCGTCTTCAAATATCTCAAGGGCTGTCACATGGAAGATGGAGCTAGGTTGTCTTCTCCTGGTCTGGAGTGTAGGACTGGACTGGAACTAATGGATTTGAGTTACAAGTTACACCAGGAGGAATTTTCTGACAGTAAGAAGTGTTAAAGACAGTAAGACAGTGGAACGGGTGCTCTATTGGAGGTGGTGGACTCTTCGCCTTCCTTGGTGGTTTGCAGCAGAGGTTGGATGGCGATCTGTCATGGATGCTCTAGTTGAAATTCCTGCACTGCAGGGGGCTTGACTAGATGACCCTCGGATCCCTTTCCAACGCTACAATTCTATGATTCTATGAATCCCTTCGATAGGCCAACTGGCTCCATTAACTTCCTAGCATTAACCAGGGATAGATATAAGATATATGTTCAGAAATACAGTAAAGTTTCACTATCTATGCTAGCATTCGATTGACGTCGGAGAGAAATTGAGTTGAGAAATAAGATTAAGGGTACATATTGATATAGGAATGTATTAGATAAAATGTAAAGAAATATACAATAATAAGAGTACATTCATTTGTAAAAAAGGAATATACAATGTGATTGACAGGAAGTCTGTAGTGTTGGTACATATATGATTTTGGAATAGTTTTTTTTGTCTTTTTGTCTTTTTTCTTTAGGTATATAAAGTTTGTATATAAACTTTGTATACATGTTGAAATTTATATTATAATACACCATGTAATGTAATATGACAATTTATACACATGTAACACAAGAACGTTAAAAAAACAACAACTTCCTAGCACCAATTGAGTAAGCACAAAACTGTGAAGCATTCGAGGGAAGAATAACAGCAGAGGGGAATCCTGTCTCAGCTATTTGACAGCCGTAGCTCTCTATGGCTGGTAACACATTTTTCACCAGTCTAAAAGGGTCCTCAGTATTGGCTCTGGTCACCGGCTTGCTTCCACGTGAGCCAATATAGGCAAAGAGCATATTGGTCTCAACGGAGTTTCCATCTGAAAATTAGATCCTGTAAAGTAGTTTTGCCTAACTGACACTATTTCGGGCTTTATTGTTTTTTTTTTTTTAAAGCAATTTATTGGGTTTTACAATAAGAATAAATGTAATAAACAATATAGCATTCGTCTTAACATAATTTCACATTATCTTTGGACTTCCTCACATCTCCCGCTCCCACCTTCATCATTATAACATTTTGTCAGCAATTTATCATCTTATTTAAATTCTTATATCTCTTCGATATTTCATAATCTTAAAGTTCTCATAAAGAGTTAAACTTTCACAATTTTTCTTGTTTCCTTAAAAATTTCTAAGTTAAGTGGTGCTCAGTTATTTAGTCCAGCATCTTATTCAGCATTCAATCAAATCACAATGTTTTTGTAGGTAGTTCTTAAATTTCTTCCAATCCTCCTCGATTCTCTCTTCTCCCAGGTCACGGATTCTGCCAGTCATTTCAGCCAGTTGCATATAGTCTATCAGTTGCATCTGCCATTCTTCCAGTGTGGGTAGATCTTGGGTTTTCCAATGTTTTGCGAGTAGTATCCTTGCTGCTGTTGTTGCATACATAAAAATGTCTGGTCCTTCTTTGCCACCCCTTGGCTGACAATACCCAAAAGGAAAGCCTCTGGTTTCTTAGTGAAAGTATATTTAAATACCTTTTTCAATTCATTATAAATCATTTCCCAGAACGCCTTCACTTTAGGGCATGTCCACCAGAGGTGAAAGAACGTTCCTTCACACTCTTTGCATTTCCAGCACTTATTGTCAGACAGGTGGTAAATTTTTGCAAGTTTGACTGGGGTCATATACCATCTATAAATCATTTTCATTACATTTTCTTTCAAAGCATTACATGCAGTAAATTTCAATCCATTACTCCACAGCCTTTCCCAGTCCTCAAACATAATATTATACCCGATATCCTGTGCCCACCTTATCATAGCCGATTTAACCATTTCATCCTGTGTGTTCCATTCCAACAGCAAGTTATACATCCTTGAAAGTATCTTAGTCTTTGGTTCTAACAATTCTGTTTCTAATTTCGATTTCTCCACCTGGAACCCTAGTTTCTTATCACTTTTAAAAACTTCTTTAATCTGAGCATAGTGTAACCAATCTCGCACTTTGTCTTTCATTTTCTCCAAGCTCTGCAATTTCCAATTGTCTCCATCTTTTCTAATATTTCCCAATATTTTGGCCATTTGGCCTCCATATTGGGTCTTTTTCGGGCCTTAGCTTCCAAAGGTGAAAGCCACCTTGGTGTTTTATTTTCCAGCAAGTCTTTATATTTTGTCCAGACATTAAACAGTGATTTTCTAACAATATGGTTCTTAAAGGCCTTATTTGCTTTAACTTTGTCATACCATAAATATGCATGCCATCCAAAAACATTGTTAAACCCCTCCAAATCTAACACATCAGTGTCTTCAAGAAGTAGCCAGTCTTTTAGCCAGCAAAACGCTGCGGCTTCATAGTACAACTTTAAGTCCGGCAGGGCAAAGCCCCCTCTTTGTTTAGCATCGGTTAGTATCTTAAACTTAATTCTGGGCTTTTTGCCCTGCCAGACAAACTTCGAAATGTCTCTCTGCCACTTCTGAAAGCACTCCATTTTGTCCAATACCTGCAGTGTTTGAAATAAAAACAACATTCTTGGCAATACATTCATCTTAATCGCAGCAATTCGGCCTAACAAAGAAAGTTTCAATTTTGACCAACTGTCTAAGTCTCTCTTAATTTCTGTCCAACATTTTTCATAATTATCCTTAAATAGACTTAGATTTTTGCTGTTATGTTTACCCCTAGGTATTTTACTTTTTAACCACATTAAGTTCCGTCTCATTCTGAAACCGTTCTGACTCTGTCTCAGTCAGATTTTTCCCCAAAACCTTAGTTTTCTGTTTGTTTAATTTAAATCCCGCCACCCGACCAAAATCATTAATCAATTGTAATACTCTTTTCGTACTAGGCTCTGGCTTCTGCAAGGTCAAAACCAGGTCATCTGCAAAAGCTTTTAATTTATATTGTTTCTGACCAACCTGAATTCCTTCCACCAGCTGGTCCCTCTAATCATGTTCAATAGCACTTCCAGGACCGAAATAAATAACAAAGGGAAATAGGGCAACCTTGTCGTGTCCCTTTTTCAATTTTGAACTCTTCTGTAACCACATTATTAACTATCAGTTTTGCTTTCTGTTCTGAATATATCGCCTCGATCCCATTCTCAAAACCCCGTCCCACTCCCATCTCTTTTAAGTTTCCCATCATAAATTTCCAAGAAATGTTATCAAAGGCCTTCTCCGCATCTATAAAAATTAAAACAGCTTTTGTATTTATGTCAGTTTGGAGAAGTTCCAAAATATCAATAATGTTCCTTGTGTTAGCAAACAAATGTCTACCTGGGAGAAAACCGGCCTGGTCCTTATGAATTACTTCATTTAAAACTTTTTAAATCTACTTGCCAAAATATCTGCAAATATTTTGTAATCCACATTTAAAAGGGAGATGGGACGGTAGTTCTTCAGTTGTGTCTTTTCAGTTTCTGACTTTGGTATCAATGTGATAAACGCTTCCTTCCACGAATCCGGTGCCCTCTTCCCCTCCATAATTTCATTGCTAACCTCCATCAAAGGTTGTATCAAATAGTCTTTTAGTATCTTGTAATACTTGGAGGTCAGCCCGTCTGGCCCTGGAGATTTGCCAAGTTGCATGTTCTGAATAGCTTGTTCAATCTCCTGTCGTGTTATTTTAGAGTTCAGGATTGTCCTATTTTCTTGTGACAGTTTAGATAGTCCATTTTTGGCAAAAATTGTTTAATCTCAACTTCGTCTTGCGGCCCTTGGGTGTATACTTTTTCAAAATATCTCTGGAAACACTTTCTAATGTCCACTGGATTCTGAATGTTTCTTCCATCAACCTCTAAATTTGTAACCGTGTTTAATCTTTGTCTTCTCTTCAACTGCCAGGATAGCAGTTTTCCACATTTATTCGCCGACTCAAACGTTTTTGTTTCATTAATTTGATCTTCCATTCAATTTCCTGATTTATCAATTTAGAATACTGTGTTTGGTACAGTTTAATTTCTCTCAGAGTTGGCTGTGACTTTGGATTCACTCTTAA